TCGCTGGCCTGCCCCAGGCCACCCTGCAGGGCAGTTTGGGTTGTGCCAGGGCCAGCTCCCTGGCCAGGGGCCCATGTCTCCCCTGCCCACCTCTCTGGCAGGCTCTGAGATGATCGAGACCCAGGAGGACATTTACGTGGGCTCCATTGAGACGGACCGGGGGGTGCGCGAGCAGGTGCGCTTCTACGACACGCGGGGTCTGCGGGACGGCCTGGAGCTTCCCAAGCACTGCTTCTCCTGCACGGACGGCTACGTGCTGGTCTATAGCACTGACAGCAAGGAGTCCTTCAAGCGGGTGGAGCTCCTCAAGAAGGAGATTGACAAGTCCAAAGACAAGAAAGAGGTGAGTACCCCAGGGGAAAGGGGCTGCAGGGTGGGATCTGCTCCCCTCGTTCAAGTTCTCACCCAGAGACTCTCCTTTTCTCTAGCTTGTCACAAGATGGTGACAGGGATCCCTGTTCCGTAAGACTCAGTTGTAACTGGCTACTGTCCTGAGATGCTTTCTGAGTGTACAAGTGCTCAACAGGCCCTTCCACTTTGGGGCTGGTTTGAGACACACAGACCTGAACAGGAGGGGAAGCTGCCAGAAGGGAGTGCTGGGAAATGTGGTGTGTTTTAAAAAGCCTTAGCATGGAGGGGGAATTAGCTGCAGGACTGGGCCTGGCACCAAGGGCCTTCAAGGCAGAGCCAGGCAGCACCATTTAGCTCTACATTTGGTACCTTCAGGGATTCTTCTCACCCTTTTCTGAACAGGTCACCATCGTGGTTTTGGGCAACAAGTGTGACCTGCAGGAGCAGCGCCGGGTGGACCATGACGCAGCCCAGCACTGGGCCAAGGGTGAGAAGGTGAAGCTGTGGGAGGTGTCCGTGGCTGACCGGCGTACACTGATCGAGCCGTTCATCTACCTGGCCAGTAAGATGACACAGCCACAAAGCAAGTCTGCTTTTCCCCTGAGTCGCAAGAACAAGGGCAGCGGATCCATGGATGGCTGAGCCTTGTTTTCCCTTCCCTTCCATTGCCACCTTGTCTTCCTCACCTCCCTATTTCCCTTGCACATACCTCCTGCTGAGCCTGTTTGGTGTTGTAAAGCCTGCGGGAAGCACGGTGGCACGAGGAATCGGCGTCCCAGGGCTGGGGATGGTCTTTGAGGATGAGAGAGGTGACCTATCTCCCTGCACTGGGGCAGAGACTGCTCTTTTCGCTGTCCAGCCCCTACAGATGTTGGAGGTGCTACAGGAAAGCCAGAATTCACTGAGTGACGTCCCTCTGCTCTCCAGGCGCGGGCTGGCAGACCCGAGGGCTGTAGGCTGCTAGAGGGGAGGCACAGCACGGGGCTGGCCAGCAGGTGGGGATCAGCTCCATGGCTGAGCACAGCCAGGCCAGAGGAAACAATTCCCTCTCTCTCCAGCTGCTCCGTTTTATATTTACTGATACCATGTGAGAAGAGCCCATTTGCCGGCCCTGCCTCCAGCCCAGCCACTGTCAGAGCAGCTCTCCCTTGTCCTACCCCAGCTGGCTCTGCGGTGCTGCAGTGTTCCCTGGCAGATTGCCCCTTACCTGGCAGTGCCCGCTGCTCCTTTACCTGCAGAAATACTCAGTCATCCTGCCCCAGTGAATGCATAGTGCAGAGCAGGGCAAGATGCTGTCATTGAGGGCAGGGTGCCCACATCCACCACGCTGCAGGCTCCTCTTACTGAGTGCAGACTCAGTCATGACCTTGGAGAAGCTGGGACTGTGCTTAGCCTGTGCACCCTGATGCTTAGGGCTGTGGCAGCTCTCGCTGCCCATCCGTCACGGTGCTGACTCCCCTCTCAGAACCACCACAAGACAAGGGAAAGGTGTCCCGGTCCTGCCCAGCAGCACGTGTTCCCTACAGCTAGTCTGGATTGAGGGGAAAAAAAAAGAATGATGAGAAAGCCCTGGCTTGTTTATACTTGTTCCTTTTATTTACTGAGTAACACAATAAAGCGATGAGATTCGATTATCAAAATATTTTCCTTTTTTTTTTCCCAACAGTTATAGTACATCAAAAAAATATACAATGAACATTACAGGAGGGGTACTGGCCAAGTCCCTAGAGTCTGTTTATTCCATTTTTGTGGGTTTTTTTGTTGGTTTTTTTTTTGAATCAAACTGTTCACATCACTCCAAGGTTATTTACAGAGGGGCACACGTTATTGAGCGCTATGGACTATGCCCTACTACCTAGTACAGCATATGCTAAGTCAAAGGCAGTAAATGCTTTGGATAGCACAGGAGCAGGGAGGGTTTCTGGAGGCGGGGGGATGCGATAGAGGGAGCGTGTTCTTACACAGCTCGTTGCAGTATTATTGTTATTAGAAGGAATGGCTTTCAAGGGGTTAAAGTGCCAAGTGTAGGAGTGTATTAGGACTCCACTGGTAGAGGGGTGACAGGAGCAGCCACTGCTGGCTCCAGCACAGGCTTTTTAGAACAAAATGCAAGGGAATGACCCACCAGTGCCAAGTGGCTCCTGTAGACTGGAGCACGGCCGCAGCTGGCTGCTCCCGGCTCCCCACGGTCCCGAGGCTGGTGGGCATGTTGCAGGAGGGGACACGCTCCCCTTCTCTGCTGTGGCCAGGGCTGGGAGTGGCCGGCGCAGCGGCCTGGGGAAGAGCACAGTGAGATGAGCAGGGGGAGGGCTGGAGCTGGGCTGACCACGGGCTGCTTGGCACTGTGATGCTGTCGGAGCTGTGTCCCTCCTGCCGCCCGGGGGCCCCAGCCAGTGCAGGCTCCTGTCCTGTGGGACGCGGGGTCCAGGCTACATGTGTCCCCTGGGCTGTGGGACCATCTCCCTGTCCCTGCCAAAGCCAGTGCTGCTGGGAGCCTTCCTTCCCTCAGCTGCTCTCCAAGCCACGTCTCCCACCACCACTGTAAGACATTTCGGTTGTCTCTACCCCCAGCCTTCCATACAAGCTCGCTCTTCTCCTGGTGCCCTCTCCCCGCTTCCCTCCTTCCCTGGGGTGGAGAGGAGATGCCCTGAGCAGATGAATCCGTACCCAGGGGCTCCCTCGCATTCCCGGCCTCTGCGGCAGGAGTGCAGCAGTGGCACCGTGGGTCAGTGCTGCCCATGGCACGAGAAACAGGCCCTCCAGACGCAGGCGTACGGCTCTGTGCCGCCCCGTTCCCTCTGTGCAGGCTTCCTGCCCTCTCCTGAGGCTCCAGCTCTTTCTGCCAGCTCTGGGAAGCAGAAGCATTTCAGCTGTGTGAGTTACCTGTTGGCCGGTTCCCATTCACCTCCCGTTGCCAGGAACCCTGTCCTGAGCATTAGTGGAGCGCACTGGGCAAAATCCTCCTGAAATCCAGGCATTGCTTACAGCCAAGATGTAGGACGTGTGTGCTTGTGCATGTGGATTCCCAGGTGCACAAACCGACCTGCCTCTTCCCAAGGGCTGGGAGCGAACGTGGGCCACAGCAGAGGTCTCTGAGCCAGCACCCTGGGCCAGGGGACGGGAAGGAAATCGTCTGCACAGAGCTAAGTGTTGCGTTGCTTTTTTCTGCTCTGACCACCACTCCTGGCTGTACAGACAGCATGAGCACCAAAGTAAAATGCAGACAGCAAATGCGGTGGGCGAGCTGCTCCCCCTGGATTGCATAGATCGGGGTGGGTTGTCACTCCAGCGTAAGGTCCATTTGGGTTGCAACTTTCCTGCATATTTCTATTTACAGCAGCACGCTGGGAACCCGGAGCGCCATGGTTACAGTTTTCAGACCAGGTCATCGCTGGGCTTTCTGAGCACAGTGAAAAGCAGAGCTACGGCTTCAGGGTCCCTCCAGAGCCCGGCTTTCCGCAGGCTACGACGGGAGCATCACACGGAGAGCGCCAGGCATAGGTTCAGGTGCTGCCTGCTCCTTCGTACCCGATTGTCTGGGCTGCTGGGGACGCCTTTGTTTTTGGGAGTCATCAGTAACTCCCTGGAAGCTCCTAATGGGGATGGGGTTGGACGGCCGGGCACGGCGGCGGGCCAGCAGGCAAGCAGCAGCATTGCCTTTCACTGGAAAACCGAAAGTGCTTTAGTGACATTCACTCAGCCTCACAGCATCTCCCGGGAGGTAGGGGCAGGGCTGTCCACCGCGGGTAGGACAGAGGCAAACAGCTGGCGCCGAGCACAGGGTCACCTCCTCGGAGAGCCCGGACTGGGCAGCCTGGCTCTCCTGTCCTCGCTGGGCTGGAGCGGAGCCTGTCTCCAGCCGCATGCCCAAGTTGTGTGCTTCTCAGGGGCCAGGGCAGGGGCAGTGTGCTTTCGGAGGGAGGAGGCGCCGGCCCTGGGCTTCGGCTATTGCTTTCGGAGTGAAGATGCGGTCAGTGTGGCCGGTGCCCGCCACAGCGGGGGCTCTTTGGCTGGTGGGACATAGGGGGTTGTGGGGTGTAGGGGGCTGGTGGGCAGCATGGAAACCCCCAGCCAGCATGGGCAAGTGCGGGGCTGGTGAGGGCACAGCCAGCCCAGTCCCAGAGGGGAACTGCTGACTTTCCGCTTGTGCTGGGGTCGTTTCTCCCAGTATAAGCTGGGCTGAGACTCCCCTTGCAGTTCCCTTCCCGCTGGGCTGGCAGGGACTGGCCGGCCAGAAGGATGCTCCTTCCCCCAGGGACCAGCCAGCTCCTCTTCTTCCAGTCTGGTAACTGGGAGGGTGATGAACAAGAAACCAGCAGGCCAAGGACAGGCAGCCCCTGCCCACGAGACACAAGAGGGTCCTGGTGACTCTGGCACCATCCTTTCCCCTGCGCCACGCAGCCGTGTGATGGGCTCTGCTGAGCACGGGACCGGCACGGGCGGGAGGAGTGGCGGGGATGCACGGCGGGGCTGGCTGGGCTCTGCTGGGGTATCTTGCTCCAGCAGGAGCCCGCTCGAAGCAAAGGAGAAGCCGGGGTTGATGTCTACGACTATGGTTTCCCACCAGCCACAAGAGCAGCCTGCCCAGGAGCGCCGCCCCGCACCGTGCAGCCCCCCACGGCAGATGGACCTTCGGCAGGTGAGCGGCTCTAGTAGGGCGCAAAGACGATGGGGCCCGGCGTGGTGCGGACGTGGGCTGGCGGCGTTCGGAAAAGGGCTGGTCCGAGGATCGGGGCTTGGAAGAGGGTGGTGGCAGCGGCTGGTCTCAGGGCGAGGGGGCCAGGCATGGCGCAGACGGCGGCTGCGGTGAGCGGGCTCGGCAGGAAGCGGGTTGCCAGGGTTTTGGTGAGATGCTTCTGCAAAGCCAGCTTGGACTGCAGGGAGGAAGGAGGAGACACCGTGAGGCACCCGGCTGCAGGAGAGCCCCCAGCCCCAGCTCCCTGGGCCGGACAGGCAGCCCCGCATCAGCCCCTGCCCACGTTCGCTTTCAGCTGAGTTTTCAGCACGTCTCTGCAGGAAACGCAGCCCCTGGCCCCAACCCAACACGCACTCCATTCCACAGCCCCGGCCCCTCAGCTCGGCTGCTTATGGGTCAGAGCACGCAGGGATGCCCCAGTCGCGATGACCTCCCCGGGGAGATCCTCAGCCCCATCATGCCGACCCAGAGACCTGCCCTGGCTTTTGCAATGGCTGGTCCGTTCCCTGCATCAGTGCTTTCCTCTGGTGCCCTGGGATGACATTTGCTGCCAAACTCTCTGCTAAACTAGACAGGGAGGCTTGTGTCTCTGCAAACAAAATGCTTCGACTTGGATTAACTGAGCCGTGCCAGCCTCAAGCACCCAACCATCACAGCTCTCCCATTCAGAAATCGCGAAACAGGTGGAAGAATCACAAATGCTGCAGTTGTGAATGCTGCTGCCAGAGGACTCACAAGTTATTCCCGTGCTTTCCTTCCCACGAACAAAGACACGAAACCCCTCTCACCACTACAGCCTGCCCTCCCCGAGGGGAGCAGGTTAGATGTGATCATGGGAACTGAGGCTTTAAGAAAAGCAGCCCCTGTGTCTCTTATTGCAAGAGATGGCTAACATGGCAAACGATGTTTCGGAGAGCAAACCGGGTGGGTAATTTGCAGGGAGACAGATACCTTGAGAATACTCACTGCGAGGGCAGCATTCTTCTGCAGCTTGTTATAGGGGCTGTACTTGGGCTTGGGCGGCTTCCCCGCCAGCCTGTCTTTGTGCCTCCGGCTGCTCATGTGCTGGGAGAGGAAAACAGCCGGATCACCCGGAGCCAGGACAGCGAGGGCAGACCCACGGCACCGCACGGCTCAGGTCCTCAGGGGATGCCCATCACCTTCTCACAGGGGACTGTCAGGTACCCACCCCCCAAGGCCCCAGTGCCTGTGGAGAGGGGTCTGCACGCCCGCGCCCGGTGCCCCTGCATTCCCAGGGAAAAGGTATGTGCCAGGCCTGGCATTATCACCTGTTTGAGCTGGGTCTCCGAGTTCACGTAGATCTCGCACACTTGGCAGTGAAACGCCTTGTTCTGGATGTTGATGCTGCCCTTGTTGCCAATCCGCTTGGACTTGTGCCCTGCCCGGGAGAGGAGCTTGCCTCGGCCTCGCCGCATCTGGGTGCTGTGACCTTCCAGCATCGACTTGTGCTTGGCACCTGGGTGGCAGAGGGGACACTCAGCAAACACTGACTTTGCAAACAAACCCAGTGCCGTGCCGAGTGCCGTGGCAGCAGGAAGGATGCCGTCTGGGCAACTCACCCGCAGGGCTGTGCATCCCTGCTCCCTTGGAACCCTGGTCCCACCACCTCCCTGTGCCCGGCAGCGCTTGCAGGCAGATGGGACAAGGAGCTGCCTGGCAAGTCCGGACTCTTGCCGGGGATGTGGCAGCCCATTCTGAAACCCTGCCACGCTCTCGTGGCCAGCTGCGCTTCGCAGGCAGACCAGAAATGCTCAGCTTCCCGGAGACCACCCCCCTCCATGTGCCAGACCTTTGGAGAAACTGCTATTTTAAGCATGTGCTGGAGCCTGGAGCCTGTCCCCGGGTGTTAGCAGAGTCTGCAGAGCTGGGCACACATCGCCCGCCGTGCTGCAGCATCTGAGCTGTGCCCAAGGTCAGAGATGATTCGGTCGCAGAGCCAGGAATAGCTCAGCAGGGTTACAGGAGGCAGGGAAGGAGGAACTCGAAATCCCCGCACACCTGGGGACAGGGCGCTCTGTCCTGCCCCTGCCAGCACGGGGATGACAGGGTGGGGGTGGGCAAGTAATTTAAGCCACTGCTAATTCATTCTATTTTTTAAGGCGTTAAGCAAGGAGCCCGAGTCCGTGTGACAGCCATGGAGGAACACAAGCCTGCAAACATTTTGTTTGTTTGTTTGTTTGTTTGTTCGTTCGTTCTTTTTCCCCAAATCAGCTCCTAAATTTGTAACCGGAGCTGACAAAAGCAAAAGGACACGTTTGCAGCTAAGCTGCAGCGGTGTCCTGAGCCGACCCTTGTGCACGGCTGCTGCTGCTGCCCCGGGAGGCAGTTGGGGCTGGGGGAACTGGTTCCCAGTTCTTGCCGAACTGGGGAAGAGGAGGCCCTTCCCTTAAAACTGGGGTGCCTGTCCTTGTTTAGCATCCTCCAGAGAAAGGGGCAAGGCTGGAGCTGGCACTGCAGAGCCCGCGGACCCCGCTGGGGGTCCCCCACACCGCAGCTGCTGCTGCCCGCCACTGCCCCGGGGGGGTCCGGCCTCCCCCTCCTGCCCTCCAGCAACCCCCAGGCTGCAGGGGGACCCTCGCCAGCCCCAGAGACCTGCCTGCCCCGAGGGGGCTGCCACGCACAGCCGATGAGCCATCGCTTGCTGCTGAGCTCCGAAGCTCGTTAGATTCCCAAGGGGCTTCTCGAAACAACCACGAGCCCAAACCACCAAGCTGCTTTTGGAAGGATTATCCTGGGTCTGAAAGAGGCACTGGCACTCAGGTTGTTATCAGCTTAAAGCCAAACTGCAATGGAATATAAAGTAGCCTCCAATCACTTGATTAAATGTATCTGAAAATGTCTAATTAAGAGACATGAACAATAAGAGAGCATTTGACCTTGCTAAAATTCACTTCATAAGCTGCAGCACAGGTAAAACACCACCACTTATCTTTGCAAGCCACCTTAATTAACCCTTTTTAATTAAAGCAACATTCATTAACGCTCGCCATTTCCCTGCAAGGCTGTTTGGTGATGGGGTATGGCGGGGCTTTGCACGGAGCCCAGGATGGAGCTGCGAGGCGCCCGTCCACCCGTCCCCCGCGCAGGCGATGCCCTTACCGGTGTTGTGAGCCTCCAGCTGGGACAGGGAGTTGACGGTCACTTTGCAGGTGGGACAGTACAGGTGCTGTTTGCTCTTCTTCCCCTCCTTCTCGCTCTCGGGGGCTGAGCTGACGCTGCTGCCCGACTCGGCTGCCTGCACCTCGGCTGCCTGCGTAGCTGAGGAGGCCATGCTGGTGGCATCCGAGGTGCCCTCCGACAGCTCCGAGGCCGGCGGGGAGCCCAGCGGAGCGACGCTGCCCGACAGCTCCGCAGGCGACTCCTCGGCGCTGGGCGTCAGCCCCAGGCTGCTGCACTCACCCTCTGGCTCCTGCAGGCCGTTGTCTTGAGCTGGCAGGAGGGAAAGGGAAGAGGGGAAAAAAGAAAGAAATGGGCAGAAAGGGAAAGTTCTCTGTGCTTGAACGGGTTTTCTGGGTTTCAGAGCACCACCCTCCTCCCTGAGACCATCTCAGGCACCGTCTGCTCACGTTCATCCCTGCTGAGGTTGGCTCTTCCCCAGGTCTCTCCCATTCCCGCTTTTATCTGCAGCTCATGGCAGCCGGGCTCAGCACAAAAGCCCAGGTGAGCTCCAGGCGCTGCCTCGGCTCAGGGGGATCTGACTCCTACCAGCCCCGTCCCTGCATGGGGGCAGAGCCCTGGGGATGTGCGAGCCCTCATCAGGGCATGGGCAGGGAACGCTTCCTCTCCTGCAGCTGTTCAGAACATCTCCCAGAGACACCAAATCACGGGGGAAACACCCGCCGTTTCCCCCGAATGGGTGGGGGGCCAGATTCCCCCCAGGGATGTGAGCTGCCCAGGCTCCTGGGCTGGATTTCCACCCCTTTCATGTAACGCTGCCCCCAGCCAGGCATGCTGGGGACGCCAGCGGAGCACAAAAGCTCATTTATTAATGCTTGCGGTGGCATTTATGCCGCACTAATCGCAGCCCTCCTCAGCCCGACCAGCAGCTGACCGTGGTGGGATGCTCAGACACAAAGCTGCTGCGGGTCGGGATTTAATCGGGCTCTTCAGGATGCTGCAGCCACGGCAAGGCTGTGAACACAAACGCCCCCGCCCCCCCCGGAAACGGCCCAGGAACCGGCCAGGTCACTCACAATGGTGTCACGGGCTGCCGGCGCGGGACCCTCCCGCACACCCCTGCCCGCGTACCTGTGCTGCCGGGCTCCCCGCTGCCCTCGGGGCTGGGGTCGAAGTCAGCTGCACAGTCCCTGCTGGCGGCCACCGCCGCAGCCCCTGCCGTCTTCTGCTTGTTCTTCGTGGCCTCGATGGCTTTCAGCCTCCGCGCGTGCTTGTGGCCCTTATAGTGGGCTTCTGCCTGGTTCTGGGGAGGAGAGATGGGGACGGCCGTGTTGGTGCTATGGCCAGACAGACGGATGGACTCAGGGAGGATGGGTGAAGGGGTCAGCCTCAGGCCGTGGCCGCTCGGACACGTTTCCAGTGCAGCCACCTCCCCTGGTGACATTCATCCCCGGGGCCACCTTGGAGGTGGTATTTTTGGCTGGGTGTAGCACAAAGCTGCTTTCCTCCTCCCGCCAGATTGCTCTGCACACAAATGTATTCAGGCCGAGGTATCACTTCGCTAAGACATCACCGCATTGCACGGCCGAGATAAGGACCCTGCTCTGATTAAATGCATCAAGTCACTTTTAAAAGAAGCTTTCAGGCAAAATTTATGACTTCAGAAACGTACAATGAATTGCTAGCTGTAAAAATAAAATAAAGAAGTATGTTGGTGGGGAGGACACGTCTCCCATTGTAACCTAATGGGTGTCTAACATGCAATTTACATTCACGGGCTCCTTTCTCCCAGTGAATACTGAATAATGAAGTGCATGTTGATGGGTTCATGCCTGCACCAAACTGATAAAAACATACACAAAAGAAAATCACCCGAACATTTGTGTACTCCGCTGTCGGGGACAATGCCACATTGTCCCCAAAAACAACTAGTTTAGCAATTTATGGAAACTAAATCCAATATGAATTAAGACACTGTACCACTGAGCAGCATGGATTAATTTGCACGGCATTTTCAGAGGCCAGCTGAGGCTTCCCTCACTCAGTAGGAGGAAGCATCCCTTCCCTCCCCCCGTGGCTTTCCAAGGGCTGGGAACGGTGTCTGGGGCTGTGCGGCAACGGCCGGGTACGTGGGAAAGCGAAAGGCCCATCCAAGCGCGGGGCCTCATTAGCAAATACAATAAACTTCCCCCAGATAACGGGGTTGGGACGGGGCTGCACTGCAGCCTAAGTAGGTCACCTGGCACCGCTGCCACTCTGCGCAGAAATACAAGTGGCGTGCGAGGGTCTGCGCCAGGACGTGCTCTCCCACAGACGTGACCTCGGGGGGGACACGGGCAGGGACTGGCAGAGTGGGGGTGAGCAGCACAGGGTGCCTGCGGGGGCAGCAGGAGCGTGTGGTGGGACCAACTCTCCCGGCACCGCTCTTCCAGCTGGGATGCAGCTTGGAACGGGAAAGTGGTGCTTTTCCCCAAGCCGCTTGTTGCGGAGCAGAATAATTAAGCCCAGAAATGCTGACTTCTGCAGGCAGAGCAGCACCCAGCCCCGGGATCTGCTGATACAGCTCGGCCAGGCTGGGACGGCACCTCCACGGGAGGCAGAGCCAGCCTGGCCGGGGCGCAACATCTGGGCAGGCGCAGCCGCCCCGGGGGACACGAGAGCAGCTCCCGGCAGCCCACGCTGCCAGACACCGAGCGCGCAGGCAGCTCCAGCAGATGAGACTCCGCTCGGGGCCATCCTCCCGTGGGTACAGGGGCTCAGTACTGCCTCGCTCCCCCAGGAAGGGACGGCCGAGGCCAGGGGATGCTCCCAGGCTGGCAGCTCTATAGGTAATGCGTGTGCCCGGGCTGGGCTGAGCACGGGAGACTCCTGCCTCCACCTCTGCCCTGCACGCCATGCAGCAGTGGCACAGAGGAGCAGATGTACTTGTGCCGGTGCGAGCGGGGCCAGCCCAGGTGAAGGGCTCCGAGCTGCTGCCCGTGTGGAGGAGGCTCTTGCCGCTCCACTCCCAGCCCTGCTGCCTGCAAACCCCTGTCCCTCTCCTGCTGGCTTTGAGCAAGAATTCCCTTTCAAACCTTTTTATCAGTTTTCCCTGCAAAAGATCAGCTGTGTGCAGTTCATTACCACCGGGATCAATAAATGTTTCCTTCCTCCCCTCTACAAGGTGGTTGATTTACTTAGAATAAAAGGCTGGGGAAAAAAAACCCACCTGCCACACCAGAGCTCTAGGAAGCCAAGGCAAGGAAGATTATATTCAGCTCCCAAGGACCAGATATGAATTGCATGGGCTGATAAAGCAGCTTAAGCGCAAACACCGAGACCAAGGCAGCAAGGAACAGACCCAGACAAAACGACGAGGAGCAGAAAGAGCCAGCATGGCAAACAGAGGACATGGCAGCCCCAGGAGCGCCTGGGCCCATGGGCAGGGAGATGTCGGTGGAAACGTCAGCCGGGGCAGGCGCAGAGCGCGGGAGGGCAGAGCTCCGAGGAGCTGCCACCTGCGCGATGGGCGGCCGTGTGGTGCCCCCGTCGTGGGATGCTCCTGCTCAGCCGCAGGCGCTGGCACCAGCCCCGCTCGCCCCACTCGCCCGCCCAGCCCTGCACTCGCCGGCCCCGCTTACCGCAGAGTTGAAGCGCAGGTGGCAGATGTTGCAGGAGATGAACTGCTTCTTCTTGAGCGGGGTGGGCACGCCGAAGGTGTGGCTGATCACCGCCTTCTGCACCGGGTCCATCTGGAAGGGGAGGGAAGGCAGAGGGTGGCTGGGTGCCATGCCGTGACGGCTGCCCCGGCATGGCACCGCGACTCAACGATCCCCCGCACCCGCCATGGTCGCTGAGGAGCCACTGCAAACACCGGCAGAGTTCACGCCTGGTGTCTGGAAGGAGCGAGCGGCTGGGGCGGCAGAGGAGCCCCATCTGCCATGGAGACACCTCCCGCACGGGGCAACATGTGCTGCGTTGATGCCTGTTCTTGTCTTTTTTAAACCATCCCTGAAAAAAACAAACCTGCAGGGTCCAAACGCCTGCTGTGGTCTGGCAGAGGGGACGAGGCCACTGCAGGGGCATAGACTGCAGACCCTGTCCTCCCCAGCCCCACCGTGCTCCCCTGCGTGTCCCCCCCGTCCCCTCTCCCCCCACCACAGACACTGGTGTCACAGGTGGCAAATTATCTGTTTCTGTTTGAGCTCCCAGTTGCTGCCCTCGACCTTCCAGTGCCAGGGCAGCTTTCCAAGACACTTAGCAGGAGCAGAAACCACCAAAAAAGGGGGCAGAGGCGATCAAAACAAGCAACCGGCCATTAATCCTCCACATGCTCTTCATCAGGGAGCTGAAACATCCCTGTGCAAAGCCAAAGGCGTGAGCGGAGCCACGCATGCCTGCTGCTTGCCCACGGGACACTGCACAGCGCACACAGGGGCCGAGGCAGGACGGACAACGGTGCCTGCAGCTGCGGGTGCAGCTTGCCCGAGGCATGGTGCCCGTGCAAAGCCACTCCGGGCTGCCCCGCTGCCCCACTCCCGGTCAGGTATGCACTTTGCCTGCTCTAATCAAATTACAAGACTGACAAATTGCAAGCCTGCGCAGCCCCTGGTATCTCACCAGGCGTGTGCGCGGAGACAGAACAGCTCCAGCTATCTGCAATGAGCCGTGTCTTTCCACGAGGCCATTCATGGTGGGGCAGCGCGCGGGGGCTGCAGGCGAGGCAGATGCGTGCAGGCTGATGACAGCCCCTGGCGCTTCTGCCTCTTCCCAGGACTCGGCGTCATTCCTCAGCCCAGGCAGCAAACTTGTTCGAAAAGCCATAATTGTTTTAAACAAAATGCATTTATTAAGGGGGGAAAAATAAGAATAACCTCTTTGTTTGAGCGTGGCTATAATCTATAATGCAAGTATTGTTCCCCTACCCTGTGGCATAGGAAGATTATCTTATCTGAGTCCTGCTGTCAGTAGAGCCTTGGGTTTTCAGGCGATCATATTTCTCTGCAAAGCTATTTTGTTGCTGAGACAGGTGCATCAGTCTTCGAGGCACATGCCTGGACAACAGAGCCATTATCAAAACCCCAAATTCCTTTCCAGGAATGAGCAGAATGGTAAAAGCAGGTGATTAATGAAGTGCCTGTTTGCTACGAAATTTTACTCACTTATCTGGCATATAAATGAAGAGGCTTTTGGGGTTCGGCGGAGACCTGGAGGAAGCTACAGATGGCAAAGATGCTGCTCCCCCCCTGACGACAAACATTGCAATGTGCTACAGGCAGCATTCCCGTGCTGCCAGTCTGTGGGCAGAAGTGGGGCCAGCACTCGTTTTCAAGGAAACACCCACCTTTTCCACACAAAGAAAAGAAAAACGGCTCTAACCTTCGCAGCAGCGTCAGCTGCCGGGGCCCGGCTGGCGGCTCCCACTGAGCCCTGCTGGCTCCCACGGGCTCATCCGCCCCCCGAGCGCTGCGGCAGGAGCAGGGCAGGGGGGCAGAGGAGGATGCACAGGAAAGGGAGATGCTGGCACAAGGATGCAAAGGCGGCCAGGGACCATCCTGGCCTGAACCTGAACTTGCCAGCGAAGCCAGCGGCGCCGGGGCCATGGTCAAGCACCGACTCCGGGGTGGTGGCACTGGCGGCCGCAGCAAAACACCCCCTCATCCTCCTGGGGCATAAGGTGATGGCATTGACCTGGGCCTTTACACCCCCTGCGCTTTTGCCAAGCCCCTGTTGCTCTGCCCTGTGCAGGTGCAGCAGCTGTGAGCTCCCCGGGGCCAGGCTGGCCGATGTACCCAAAACCTGGCTCCTCGCCCCAGCCCCGTGCATCCCGGCCAAGGCTGGTGCAGCTGGGGACCATCACCACTCCTGCTATCCCAAAGCAAACGCAAGCACTGCATCCTGAAAAGGCTTCAGGTGCCCAGCCCCACGGGAGCACACCCAGGGGCACGCGTGCCATCTGCACGGTGTCGGCGGAGGCTGAGTGACCCCTCGCCACAGCCGCTTTTTGCTCTGTCGAGCACGCTTGGCGAGCGCGGCGTGTTTGCAGCACGCGGGGCGCTTTGCTGGAAGCCCAGCCCAGCTCCCTCTGGCACACAGCACTGAGCAGCTCCAACACCTGGATGCCACCTGAGAGCCCCTGTGCTTCTCTCCGAATGAAAACACAAACGTACCCTCAACTTCTCCCTAACATATGCACTCATTGCTATTTCAGATGGGAAAAGGAATCATTATAGACCCCGCAGCTCTCCCCTGGGGCCGGTGAGGGTCTGTGCCGCAGCAGTACGTACCGGTGCCCGCAGCCGGGTGGGTGGAGGCTCTTCCCGGTGGTTTCCAGCAGAACTGACCCAACAGCAGAGGTAGGCTTTGGGCACCGCACACTTGGAGAATAAAGATCTCAGCTTTATAGTCAATTCTTATTGACTCACATTACTTTATTTATCGCTGGATGTTCCTACAGATATAAATAGAGATCCCTGTGCTGAGCTCCCTGCCGGCCACCGAGGTCAGAAACGGGAATTCACAGGGACGCAGCATCAGTTCGGATTGCATCTCCTGCCGTGGTTTTGCAAGGCGCTGCTGGGTCCTGGGGATTTGCAACATCCCAAGAGCTGGAAAGGGCCTTTCAAGCATGAAACCTGCCTTCTGTGTTGCGTTAGAATTCTTTTTCCCTGTTGTTGTTGCTTTAAGTGGCAGGAGAGCTCAGCTTGGAAAGGTTTTGCTCGCTCCGGAGTAAAACATCTGCTGGGTTCGTGAGAGCCTTGTGACCTGCTCAAAGTGCAAAGTGTTCTGCTGAGCAGTTGCAAACAGCTCCTGCTCTGCAGGGCAACGCCGAATCCTGCACAGCATCACCAGCGACGCTGGGTAAGCAAAGGCAAACCTTCTGATTTCTTTTTATAGTAATTCAGATACAGCAGCTCTTTCAAAAGGTAAAATACCCTGACTGATGCCCCCTCCCACCCGCCCAAATTACCCCTGAGGCTGAGCTGCCAGGTGGCATCTCTGACCTGGCATCATGGTTACTTGGGCAGAGAAACGAAGACCTGCCAGCCTGGCTCCAGGGCGCGGCGATGCTCGAGCCCTGCATCCTGCGAGGACAGGGACTCGGCTCTGGCTCCCTGCAAAGCCACCTGCCCGGGCATGACGCTGAGCCCTCGCAACCCCAGCCTCAGCCACCTCTCCAGCACAAACGCATCCCGAAGGGGCAGCTTCCACCCCTGGACGATCAGGCCTGGCTTTGCTCAGCTAACATCACGCGCCAGACTCGGGTCTGAGCTCAGAGCAATTAATTCAAGGTGCCCGTACAGCCGGGACAGCCTCCCCCAGCATCTCCATCCCCGTGTCCGACTCATCCTCTGGGGCAGAGGAGTCCCCACCAAGCACAGAAGCAGCATGACGAAGCTGTGCGGCTCCAGCAAGTGCAAGAGATTCATTTTCCAAATTATTATTTTTTTTAAAGCAACACAACTCTGGAGAACACGTGCCAAGGCGGGGGCACGCAGGAGCCAAGCAGAACAAACAACGGGATCTGGTTCAAGTTAGCTACTGACTCCAGCGACTAAAAACAGGAGCCCAGACAAAGAGCAGCAACCTTAATAGCATAAAAAAAAAATCATCCTCTCCTGTGTTTCTGCTTGTTAGCACAGGGGAGAGACAGGCTAGAGCTGGGATTTCAAAAGAGCTTAAAGGAGTTAGACGTCTGAATCCCCTTCAACAGCAACAGGAATCCTGTACTTAATTTCTACGGCCGTCTTTGAAGATCTCAGCGATAATTTGCACCTTCCGAGCACGTTTAATCTCAAAGCCACTTACAAAAGGCCAGCGAGCGAGTGGGGAGGCAGCTCAGGAAAGTCCCATTTCCAGGCTCACGAGGGAAAAAAACAGGCATTTACCAAAGCCATAAACGTCTACCCTGCCTCTGTGGGGGGAGGCGGGGGGCAGCCCTGGGTCCCACTCCCCACTGCCTCTGCCCCTCGGCAGAGCAAAACCTGCTCCTCAGCAATGCCAGGAGCCGGGTCCCAGGGGAATCCCAGGCGGCTGAAACACCAGGGCAGGGACCCAAAGCAAGACAAGAGAAGGGCTCCTGGAGTGGATCCCATCCCTCCCATCAGCAAGAGGCACAGGGCGCTGCCCGGGTGGATGGAGACCCCAGCCAGGCTGAGATCAGCCTGGGGAGAGCAGCACGGAGGGGGGAAAATGCCATTTCACGCTCGAGACGCTGTCGTATGTCTTTGGCTGCATCCATGTCAATTTAGATGTATAACAGAACATCTCTAGAGAAGACACATTTAATTGCATAACCCAAGCACTTGGTACGGTGGTTCAAGGCTGGGGACCTTGAGCCCAACCGGGCGGTGGGAGAAGTCCCACAGCAACCAGGCTTGCCCAACACCTGCAGCCATGCAGCACCAGCCACGTTCCTTGTATCTTTATACGCTTTCTCTCTCTTTCTTTCCTTTTCTTTATTTATTTTTCAACTAATGAACTGCTCTCCAGAGCTACTTTATTACTATTTATTCCAGGAGCAAAATCCAATTGATCTTGGTTAAAATGAGCCATCTTTTTAATTCTGGTATATAAGGGTGATGGCTGGGCAGGAACCGCTCTGAGCTAAGGGCAGGGCGGGCATGTTGCACTAGCATCCAGCAGTCAAATACCCCGGTAATTAAGCCAGAAATTATCTGGCGGGGTTCAAGGAGTGGTGCTGTGTAGAAGAGGGACTGCTGCAGGGGAGGAGGGATCTGGCAGCCGATGCCCACCCGCCCTCAGGGACTCACCGTGTTGAAGTTGGGGAAGAGGTTGAGTGGTGACGTCCCGTTGAGCCTGAAGGTCAGAAAGTGCTTGATGTCCAAGGGGGGATGAAGGGGACGGCCGGGGATAGGCAACGATGCTAAGAGGGGGCTGCTGTGTCCGGAGGGACCTGGGCAGGCAGAGGGGAAAGAGCAGCGTTAGCGTTGGTGGCCCCTGCTCGCAGTGGGGGGACACGGCACGCGGGGACACGGCACGCAGGGCAATTTGCCATGGGCTCCGGACCCTCCTCAGCAAAAGGTCCCAAGCCCAGCGTGGCCCCAGGCACCGCTCTGCCTTTCGGGCTCAAAACTGGCATCCCGGTTCAAAGCCGAATGCAGCCATCTTTGCGTCAGAGCGTTGACATGCGCAGGAGTTCGCTTTGAATCCTCTGAAAGGTGTCAAAACCTCTCCCAGGGAAACAGCCCATTCCCCGGGATCTCCCATGGGAGCCCACACAACCCCTAGCTCTCCCATGCCAGCACCACAGGGGCCCTTCCTTACCGGGGCCGGTGCTTTTTTGGCTGCCGACAGCAGCTGAAGGAGCACCCTCGCCCCGAGCAACCCTGCGAGTGCAAGGTGGGGGGCACAGGGCTGAGCAGCCACTGCCATGGCACCGCCCCGGCTTTGCAAAGGTGTTGAATTTTGGGCACCCCTGGGACCATCCAAGTCACGTGGGCACCCCAGCTCTGCCTCTCCACAGGTATTTTGGGTGGAAACCCCCGGGGACGGGCTCTCCCGCCCCAACCCACCGGCTCCTGCACTAGAGCTGCCCGCTCCCTGGCCAGGCGCTGCCACCTGCCTTGTATCATCCCCCGCAAACTGACCGCGAGCTCCAGCGTGCCACCTAAAAATAGCCTGGAGCTATTAATAATTTTCTGTTTAAAAAGAAAACACCCCCGGGAAGGAAGGAAGGCCAAACGGGGGATCTGTCTCCAGCCCGCTCCCTGACCCAGTGCTTCGCCCTGCTCAGCAGCCCGAGGGCAGCGGTTTTCCACTCGGACTCATCCATCCCCCCCGCTGGGAAAGCATCCACTGACCCGCGGAGGGCCCGGGCTGGGCTCCTGCAGCCATGCACAGCTCTGAGAGCGAGGAGGGGGGAAAAGTTAAAATAAACAAATGAATGAATAAAATACAATAAATAAGAAAAAGTTTCAAAACGCTGTGAGCCAGAAAAGCCCATTCGCATCTCGCATGGCTTCACGCCTTCTCCCTACTCCAGCCCACCTCGGCAGCCCTGTGCCTCCGCCTGAAAAAAGGACAAGGCCAACGTTCCTTTTTTTTTTTTTTTTTTTTTTTTTTTTTTTGATTTCTAGGTTCTTTTTCACCTCAAAGGCGGTCGTGGAGCCAGGCTGCCCCGGTGCAGCATTACCCCAGCCCGCTACCTGCCCCCAGTGCTGAGAACAGCAGCAGTCCCTCGTGGGAGGACGAAAGCGGCTGGTGCCCGAGGGGCTCAGGTGCTCCCGCAGCAGAAACGCTGTCGGGGAGCCATAATCACCGGTGCTGCTTTGGGACAGCGCCAAGGCTCTCGCCCCCCTCCAGCCCCACCATGCCCCGACACCGGCTGCGCGCGACGAGGACCCCGGTCCGACAGTGGGCTGGTGCTGCTCTCCCGCAGTGCTTTGCTTTCTGCTCTACACCCGACCCTCCGCTGGCAGAAACCAGGCTTGTGCAGGAGCCGAGATACAAATCTGAAATGCAAAGTTTGAAAGATTTTCTGAATTTGAGCAGCGAGAGCTCGCCGTGCGGGCCCTGCGGGCAACAATGACCTCTTTCTGGGAGAGTGCACACGGGCAGCTCTTCAGCAGCACTGAAGCCATCCCTGAGTCAGGCCTGACTCCAGGGAAAAATTACATTTTGCTTCATCAGGCGTGCATCGATCGAGTTAATTCCAGAGTCGCCCAGAAGGGAAATCTGTGAAACTGTTTGAAAATAAATAAATAAAATTATAGCAACAGCGACGAGGGAGGGAGCAAAAGCAAGCAGAAATGGGTGAACGATGCATAATTAACCTTCTGAGGCGTGAAACAGTATTTCTGCATCAAATCATCTGAGACGGCAGGGCCGGCGCCCGGGGAGCCGGCCCCCAGGGACCCCCCCAGCCCACACACGCAGCCGTGACCCTGTGCGAGAGCAGCGGTTGCAACATAGGCATTTGGGGCCAGATTGCAAGGGTTTCCACTTGCCTTTGTCAGTATGCTTTGGCATACTGGCAGTCAGACTGCACTGGCCTTAAAAATATGTATATATTACATTTAACACTGGGAGGAACAAGAGGGTGGGAGAATGCCTCTGCCCCCGTCATCAGTTACTGAATAAAGGGAGTTTGCAGCTCAGCCAACACTGCCGCGCCGGCAAAACCTGGCTGCTGCTGTGCAGCCCCGTGGCCGAGGAGTTTGCTGCCCGGGGAGAAGCTCCTGTGCTGGGAGGGCACATGGCCCAGGAGTGCTGGGGGGAGAACATGGGCTCCCGGGGACGGCCACTGCCTGCAGTGGCTGGGGGCCACCCACACACTGAGGACGCGATACGCCAAGCCGCTTCGGCACGTCCTTGAGCCCAAATTGGTGGATTAAACATATTTCTGGGCTGGGTCTGCAGTCCAGGGGTAAAACAGGCACAGACAGGAGAGAGCCCAGAAACCCCAACTGAGACAGGACCCTGCGGAGGGGGCAGGACCTTTTCCTCCCGGTTCTGCCATTGAAGTAGACAAGACCCGTGCGAGCAGGAAAAGGGCTGAAAGCCTCCAACAGCATCATCATTGTTCAGGCACCCTGCGAGGTGCGGCCACACGCCTGCAGCTGGGAAAAGGAGGAAACCCAGCGCTCGCTGCGGAAGGGACAAACGGCAGCCGGTGCAGCTCTTTGTCCCCGGCTACAGAGGGGAGAAAGGACAGCAGTCACGCGGCATGGGGACAAAGGCACCGTCAGCTTCAGTTTGCCTGAACCTCAGATGATCACAAAAGCATAAGCACCGCGTGCAGGGAGAGGGCAGACGAGTGGTGCAACCACAGCCCCGGCACCAGCAGAGCTCCCTGGCGAGGAGCGAGCCACCCGGCACACCACAGCACCCCACGAGGGCACGGGGCACCCACACGATGCTCTTGGGGCACCTTCCCAAGGTTATGGGGCCACACTGCTGCAGCTCCTGCCTTACCTTTGCTGCAGGGCAGAGTCCGGCAGCAGCTGCGGGCTGTATTTTTAGGTATTAATTAGACACTCAATTAAGGGGATTTGCTTTGGGGAGAGTGGCAGAGCCCCCAGGTCTGGATAGAATGACATGACCTTACCCGAGGTGACAGGCACGGCCACCAGCAGGGTGGGCTTTGCTGGTGAATGGCATCCCCAGATGCTCGGTCTGCAGCTCCGGAGCGGGGCCGTCCCCCACCACAGTGCTGTCTTTGTCTCTCCCCCCATTCTGGCAGAGGGGCCTCAACCCCTGCAGCAAACGTGGCTGCTCCGGCACTGCAGCGTCAGCCCCACAGGTCCTGCCAGGACGGGACACGCTCGGGGCTCTGTGAAGCGTTTGGAAGGGCTGGTGCAAGGAGGGCTGCACAGGAGCCCCGTGCTCCTGGCACAAGCACCAAGGGCACCGCAGGTGCTGCCCCATGCCCCAGTCAGGCTCTCGGGTTAGCCATGCTGAGGATACACTTGAGCTGATCCGAAATCCCACGTGCCAGCCAGCTGGAGTCGGGTTGCTGTGCCCGTCCCTGCTGCGCGGGGGCATCCTCCCTGCCGAGTCACTGAATTAGTCCTGAGCGATGGTCGGGTCTGAGCTGCTGCAGCCTGGGGGGTCCCTTCGCCCCCCCAGCTCCGCAGGGAGGGTGCACAGCCATTCTTAACTGAGCATCCAGGCCTGACCGAAAGGCGCCAAACCACGCGGCGTCATCGCTGTAGTGCCGCACATCCCCTGCCTGGGGCTCAGCCCGGAGCCATCAGCTCAGCCCCTTCCCAGCCCTCCGAAGCTCAGCCCAGCTCCTGTCCTGCAGGCACACGACTCTCAGAGAGGTCCCCTGGAATTTAAAGACGTGTTTCAGTCCTTCCTTTAACCAAGCCTACCCAGGACCGTGCCTGGCCACTGTCCCCATCCTGTCCTCCCCACCTCTTTGCTCCACACAGCAACTACACAGACATCTGCAGCAGGTTTTCTCCCAGGTCCCCTGCGAGGCAGATCAGAGCAACTGTTGTGCTCTAACGCTACATATGTGTGAACCTCCAAGAAACGCCTTTGAAAGTGGCAGGGACAATGCTGTGGGTTTTCATACCAACACGAGAATCTGCCAAGGACCCATCTCCGCAGACGCCGGCTGCCTCGCAAGAGCATCTGGCGCAGAGTCTGCACAGGACAGATGGAGACGGGAGCTGTTTATTCACACAGAAGCAGTCTGGCTCCCTCCCATTTGGTAGGTGTTCTCAGCAAATTTTGGTGGTGTCTCAAATTCCTTACCCAGGGCTTTAAAGCTTTTGTCTCTGGCCAAGCATCGGCTGAATTCACTCCAGCTATTTCCAGGAGACTCTCTGAGAAACACGTGTGTGCGCTTCGTGATGCCAAAGGCTGCCGGCAGGAGAAGAGCAGCAACACCTGGTCACAACGCTGGACCACGACCGCAGCACTGGAGCAGGCCCAGCACTGCTTGGGGTCCAGACCACCCCCAGTGCCTCTAGCTCCGGCTTTAGGAACGTCAGTAATTAGCAGATTGCCCTGCCTCGGACTCCCAGAGCAACCAGACCCAGCAAACCTGACCTGGACCGCAGAGCAGCAGATCTGTTGGCCTTGGAGACAGTGATGCTGTGGCTGCCCAGGCACGGCGGGCTTGCTCTGTGGCCACAGCAGTCCCTGCAGCAGGACTGGCCTTGGCCGAGCCTACATCCCACCCAGCTCCAGTGGAGCCCAACAGAAAGGAAGGGCCAAGCTCAACCCCCCAGAGGCCGCAGAGCTGCTCTGTGCAGTGTGCTCTGGCACTGACACTGGTTCCCAGCCTCCCTGGGAACGTGAGGACAGTGCCCGTTGTGAGCACCACCCTGCTAAATCCTCCTATTTCCAGCTTTCGACAGCCACGGCCGCCGCCTCTACACGCACGGTTTGAACAGAAAGCAGCCCACAGCAAAGCCCAGCTTGCAGGACAAGGTCACGCCG